GTTTCTTAATTTTTTTTTTTTATAAATATGGATATTGGGTGTAATGTATGCTTTCTATAAGGGGTCCAATACTTATGTCTAAGCTCAGGGCATCTCATGATCATGATTCCCTCATAATTATGAGTTCTGAAACCATCTCGATTTTTTGTTTTTGCATGTGCATGTCTTTGTTGGTTAAAAACTGTCTCAAAAGGTCATCGTTTTCTGACGATTCTATTGTTTTTAACTGTTTGGCTTTCTCTAGATTAAAGCTGATATTGAAACAAAAGGAGAATTCATCAACAATGTCATCCAAAAAGTTTCAGATGCTGTTTATATAGATATAGAAGATGTCCTGAAGTTTGTGGATTGGCTTGACAATGAACTTTTGTCTTTGGTAAATATGAGAATCTTTCTTGGTTATTTAATTGACCAATGTTTGCAATTGAAATTCCTTTGTCACTCTTTAACTGTCATGCATATACAGATATACAACAATTTTTTCAGAAGATCTTTATTATGTTATGTTGATTATAAAAGGTGTTATATTACAAAAAAAAAAAACTTTTAATTTCTTTGAAATAAGATCAGAATACATTAAAACATTAGTCCTTTCATTATGATGAATTAGAAACCAGCACTTGTCAGAGGCTTTTTGTTGGTGCATTAATAAATTTTATTTTGTTTTCTTATCTTCTGTTGCCACAGGCTGATCAAAGGGCTATGTTAAAGCATTTTAATTTTCATTATATGAAATTAATTTTAATTGGACATGTTTCCATGCCAGGTTGTATACTTATTTGGATTCGGGGTTCCTTTGTTCGTTGACAATAGTGAACAAACTTATTTGGAAGTTGGGAGCTAATGTGGATAATGAAGGAGATGCATTTGATGTCCATGCCCAAGCTAAAACAGGGGAGGGCAAACAACTCTACCCTTGAATATGACCCTATTGTATTTTCAAGTGATGAGGCTTATGCAAGTGACTGGAGGATTAATTTTTGTTAGATTGATTTGAGGTTGCACTAATTCCTTCATATCAATGGTTCATTGTTTTGGAATTAAACATG